CAACAAAAGAAGACAAAAAAAGGCACAGACACAAGCAGGACGAGGAAGAATTCTCTAGGAATGAAGACAGGCATAAAAGGAAAAAGAAAAAGGACAAGCATAATCTCAAGTATTCCTCTTGCAGGGAAGAGAGCTCTGTAGATATTTGGGACTCTCAAAAAAGGTACACGAAAAGAAAAAGGAAGGAAGAAGTTAGTGGAAGAAATGGACTTGCAGAAGGTAAGGAAGAGAGCTCTACTGCCCATTCTAAAAAGCTTAAAAAAACAGAGAAGGAGAAACAGTTGGCAACAAAAAAGAAGGATGAAAAGCAGACAAAGGCTGCTGCAGCAAAGATGGCTTTAGAACGGGAAAATGAGAACTTTCGTCTAAATTCTGGTAAAAATAGCACCAAAAAGATCACAACACAGTCCAGAAAGAAGAGACTGGAAACTTCAGATTCCTCCAGCACATCGTCTGACAGTGACAGCAGTGAATTAAACATAAAGCAAAACAAATCTTCCCATAAACCTGTAGCGGCGACACTTCCCAAAGACAAATCCCAAGCTGCTGCAAATTCTGATGCAAAAACGAATAAAGTGACTGTAAAGTCTAACACTGAAAAGACTAAGACTGCAGTTAGTAAAAATGCTAAAAAACCCCAGTCCTCTAGCTCAGATTCTGACTCGAGTACAGAGGATGAGAAGGCGACACCAGCACAAGACAGCACTGCAAAGGAAAAGTCTCTGCCCACCAACACGGTGGCTGTAAAAGCCAGTACCAAGGCTCCCAAAGCAAAGAGCTCCTCCTCAGAGTCTGACAGTTCAGATTCAGACACGCCTGTTACTAAAAAACCCGCAGCAGATGCTGGACTGAGTAATTCTATAGGAAGAAACTGTATTAAACAGTTGCCAAATGATATTCAGGGACCATTTGCCAGCCCAGGCCGTGGAAGGGGGCGTGGATCGGGAGACGATTGTTTCTGGAGAGGACCCAGGGGCCGTGGGTTTCGTGGGATGATGAGGGGCCAAGGCCATGGGAGAGGAGCAAACCCTGGCTTCTTCTATAACTACAGCAGTGAAGGCCAGAAACAGAGGCAGTTAAATGAATCTGCGACAAACGCTTCTGTTGTTGTCCAGGTGAGTGACTTGCACAGTCAGGGGACACCTTTCTCTGGCAGCTTAAACTATTCAAAAAGTCTGTAGGATGAGAGTAATCCATGAAAGCAGAAATAGCTTAAGGGGATGAAGGCTGATCTTAACTTAGTAAATCTGTTATTTATCATATCTCCATTTGTCAGCCTGAGGAAGCGTTTGTATTTAAGTGATTGTACTACACATCTCAAAACAAAGCACTCAGATGAGTACCTTACCCTTCTCAGAGCTTCTCACAATCCATACAGCATAAACATTATCTTCTAGTTTTAGTAATACAGTAATTAAGTCAATGGGATACTGTTGTTTTTTTTTCACAGAATCCCGTGGAGGTTCCCAAGAGAGACTATAGTGTGTTACCTCTTCTAGCTGCTCCACCCCAAGTGGGAGAAAAGATTGCCTTTAAGGTAAAGAACTCTGGAAATACCAAATGTTAATGGGCTAAAATTGCTTCATTTGGGCCACTCTAAGCTTCTGACCTAATAGTTTCTCTAAAAAATTCTCTTGTTGTAAAGTCTGACTTGGATTTTTACAAAGGTTTGGAGCCTGTGCATAAGTTAAATGCATTTCTTTAGACTTTCTGTATTTGTGTAACACAAAGAAATGTTGTGTCTGCTGTCATTTCAGTGTGAATTTCCATGCATATATTGTTATTTCTCTAGATACCTTTTCTACAATATTATTGCCAATCTTACCATACAAATAATTACACTTCACTGCAAAAACTTACAATTTGCTATTTGTATTTCTTTCAACAGCGCTTGGAACTAACTGAAAATTACAGTCCTGAAGTTTCAGACTATAAGGTACTGATTTTCTTTCCTCCCATAATTCACTCACAGAACTATTATAGGTGAGGTATGGCTTTAAATATTTTGAGGTTGTGCACTGTTTTTCTTTGCATCCACTTGGCTCCAGAGGCCATTCCTGGTGCAGCAGTAAAAATGAAAACTAATTGAAAATTTGAAAGGTGAATAAAAATAAAAAAAGTTAATTAAAAAAAAAAAGCCAAACCCAACTGCAGGTATTATAAATGATCATTGACATTTTGGAGATGACAAAAAACACAGACCTTCAACTAGAAAAATGTAGATGTATTTGAGTCTGCTGTGGTTTCAAGTTAGGGCAAGTTCTTGAAACTGGTGCAAGTAAAATTTTGTAGCTACTTGAGATAACTTGGCTTCTGGAGAAGTACTGAGTTAAACTAAAAAGTCAGTGACAGTAAGTAAACTTTGGTTGCCAGTAGCTACAGATTGCTGAGCTTTAATTCTCTGCAGATTTTATACACAGAGATAGGAAATTTCCTCTAGAATTGATCAAGTAGCACAGGGGTTGTAGATATGGAACAGTTATCCAGTGCTGAAGTGTATCTTACCTGGTTCTTTTCTTGTTGCTTTATGAAGGAGGCAAAAATAATCAGTTGGAATGCTGATAAAAAACAGATCGAGCTCGAGATCCTTTCAGCACCAGCAGGACAAAGTACGTACCTTGTTGTCATGTGCATCACTTGGCAAACAGCTCATGTTTCAGGAGTATTCCCAATTTCCTTGGGTTCATTCTCAACACATCCCTTCCCTCCTCATTCCCTCCCCAAAAAGTCTCTTTAAATGGAGGAGTTCTAACCCTTGCTAGTTGAACTGAAGATGCTCGTGGGCATTTACCAAAGTGAATTTCTTCAGTCAGTCTGAGTGCTCAGTAACTCAGCTCTAGTGTGGCTTCATTTTCTGAAGAAAGCTGAAATCAATATATGGAATTACAGAGAAGATGTGAGACCATAATGCCATTCTTTGCAACATCAGTGAAGCCACTGCCTTCAGTGGATGTGGAAGTGAGTCCCTGCAGTGACAAGGTGCAGTTCCTGAGGCCTGAAACAAGGAATGTTTCTGGAACTGAGTGGGTGTCCTGCAGTTGCCATTGAAGCCAGACTTAATGAATTGTCATATGGATATTTTTCTCAAACTTAAGCAACATATTGTTACCTTTTTTGTACATGTAGTATATGAGCCACCTTAATTTTGGTGTGTAGTATTCAGCTCTACCTCAGATTTTTTTTTGTTGGAATTAGAAGCCCAAACACACAACTGTAAACTAAACAGAACAAAACTGGGGTTTGAGTAAACATTTAAACTTTTGTTGTTGTCGTTTATAGTTAATTGAGTTGTTTGTTTGTTTTTAAGTTGCTAAGGAGCCGGGGAAATTCGATCTGGTTTACCAGTCTGCAGATGGAGCAGAGCTGATCGAGTATGCTGTCCCTCAGGACACCAAGGTACGTGAGTCCTGCTTTGAATCCTGTTACCAGTTTTGCATAGCTGATACCTGCCCTGCTTTATGGCTCTGTGCATCTCAGGGAGATTCCCTTTACAACAGTGGGAGTAATCTGATTAAAATAAATGGAAGCAAATAAATGTTCCTTCCTAGCAAGAATGTGCATGATCACGAGGTAAGAATCACTTCTTGCATATTTCTCAATTAACTGGGGTCAAAGCCAGTCATCTAATTAACTTTTTGTTTTGGCTAATAAAATAAACAACATCATGTCTCACAGAGTATCCATTCTTTCAAGCTTATTGATTTCATGCACTGTTGTTCTTACCTGCATCGTCCCTTGTCCAGGATGTCAGGCAGGTTGAGGTTCATCAAGAGGATCAATGAATCACAGGAATGAGCCTTTGTTCAGGCCTAGACAAAGAGTAATGACAGAGAAACTGCATCTGTTGGTGTAGCTGGTACCTGTTAAGTGTTGTCTGTGCTTTGTTTTCAGATAACTGAAAGCTGGGATGCCCTGATAGAGCCAAGACTGATTGTTGAGCCTCCAGTCAATGGATCCAACGTTGCAAATGGAACCATCTAAAATGTGAAAAAATGTACATAATTGTATGGACTTGTTTTGTGAAATGCTGCCTTCTGGTTCTGAGGGTGGCAGGTGCACTGGTGGATATTTTAAAGCAATAAATTGCTTTAAAAAGAAGTATGACAAAAGAAAAACATTTTTTTTTTCCTTAGGGTGTGTTTTTATGTAATACAGGAAGACTTTGTTTAGTATAATACAGATATGTTGGGGTTTTTTTTCTTAATATTTCTATCCTACTGCAGTGAGCTGCAGAACTGGAATGGTTTGATCAGAAGATAAAATACAACCTTGTACTGTCAGTAACTTATTGAAATGTCTGGGTTTGGCTAGAACCATATAACTGTCCTACAGAGGTCATTTTTATTTAAAAATTAAATACTGTTGATATGCAAACCTCCTCCTCTGCTGCTGCTGAGCATCATACAAATGCAATGAGTTTGCAGTTACTTACAGAGTTCATCTGAACATGTCCCAGAAATCCATGTGGATTTCAAGCTTCTGTAATTTTGAGGCATATAAATAGTAGTGATAACTCAACCTTGCTTAGAACCAGGGGAAAATAACACAAACCCCCAGGAAAATTGTGCCCCATTGTGTTAATCTGTGTAGGCTCAGAAAACCCTTTTGTTTGCTTCTTTTAGATCAAACCCTTTTGCTCTGTAAGAGCTGTGCTGCCTTTCTTCTTTCTTTCCCAGCAGCACAGTGGGTCACTGGGTGCTGGCAATGTGCTGCACTGACAGCTCTGATAATTATTAACATTGAGGGGACAACTTGTACCTCTGTACACCTGGCAAGTCTTACTTACACTTCCAGATAATCCCTGTCCTGGGTAGTTGACTCTTACAGAGAAGACATGGAAAAACCCCAAAAACTCTAGATACAAACAAACACCTGAGAAACTACATGGTGGTTTGCTAATATGTGCTCTGACTAGTGCATGATTACATTAAAATACTGCACATCTTTCCATTAGCCCTATTAAAATGTCTTGTTTGTGAAGGAATCATTTTTATACAAGTAAAACTGATTTGTGTATTGTGGTTCTCTTTAGTTGCCATTATTTCATGCTAGAATTTGGGTTTTTTAGAGAAATGGACTGTTAGATTCACGTGTGGCTGTTCTTGCAAACTGGACAAGAAGAAGATGCCAGACACTAGCACAGTGATGCTGAGACAGTGGGGATTAATGGAAAGATTGTTTTTCTAAGGGAAATTGTTAATTTTTAATTCTTAAGAAATTGTAAAAGCTAAGTGCAAGTATTTCACAGCACTGTTAGAGCAGGACTCGCCTCTTGTTCCACTGCCTACACTGTGTTTTGGCCAGTTCAGGACCTCAGGAAGTTCTCAAGTAATTTCAAGGAAGCAAAGAGAGCAGTAACTTCATTAGCTATGTAAATGGTAATTAATTTTTAATGTTAAAACGTTATTGTCTTTTAGACAAAAGGAGTGATTTGGCTTCCTCAAAACCAGAATTTCGAGCCCTCTTTGACAATGGGGAACTTAAATTGCTCATCTGAGCTCTAAACATCCTGTGCTCTGCTCCAGAAGCAAAAGCTACAGTTGCCAGGGCGTATATTTACCCTTTTTATTTGCATACCTTTGTATCAGTAGATACCAAATGAGTGCTGCAGAAGGTACCGAGCCTTCGAAAGATGACAATGGCTTGTTCCAGATAAGCCCAAGGAGTTCGTTCACTATAGGAAAATCAAAAATGTAATCATTAAGAGCCGCTCCTTGGTCCAGTCACCGGTAACACACGCACAACACAGCTCTCTAAGAATGTTCCTTTGCAGTCTCTGTCAGCCACCACCTCTCAGGCTCCCCCGGGTGTTTGCATTTCCTCTGACAGCAGTTACAAAGTCCTGATCAGCCCATCCCAACCGTGCTGTAAGTGCATGGCACCGTGCCCATCTCCTCGAAACTGAAACTCCTCCACCCTCCGGTATATGAGAGACTCTGTCCCTGAAGGTTTGCTCCTGTCACAGCCTTGCAGCTCCAAATGCCTCCTCTTGTCCTTTCTGCACCTGTATCTGTCACTAAGCAGTGACTCAGAGCCCTGAGCAGCTTATCCTGAAGGAGTACTGCAAGACTGGAGTGGTAACTGATGTGGGTAGGGGTCCACGTTAATCTCTACAATGTAGGTTTGCAACGACCATCCAGATTTAATTCAGTCTTACAAAAGAAATGACTAGGAATTCATTTCAGCTGTAACAGATGACTCACCATTGCCTCTTTTGAGTGCTTTATACAATTCCTGATCATTTTTAGAAGCCCCTAAGGACTAATGACTACATGATTGTGTGCTAATACTTTTTAACAACATTAAAAGGAACCTCAGCAGTTCTCCACAGAAGGTGTCCTTTGCCCACTGGACGAGAGAGCACACAACTCCTTCTGCTGCAGACCCCCAGGCTCTGTTTAAATTCTGGGGGGCCACAGAATTTGTGGCAGGCTGCTCTGTTTCATCCATGCTGCCAGCGTGGGTGGAGAAGTACAGAGAGCCCTGAGCAAGACCCTGGGTCACCGACAGACAGGGCAGAAGAAGGAGGAGTAAGAATTTGGAATCAGGTTAGTTAAAACGGGAGTAGTTGCACCTGTTGCTATTCAGCATCAATGTTCCTGTTAGGAACAGCGATTATTCAACAGTTAGACTGAGGAAAAGAAAAAAAAACATTCGCGGAATACCTTCTGTTGTGATGGCTTCCACATTCACAGCGCGGTAACCCGTGCTTTAAAAACGCTGGGTTGACATCAGCTGTTGGAACCAGGTGATGTTTAAGGTCCTTTCCAACCGAAGCCGCTCTACGAGTCTATTTGATCTTCAACAGCCAGGTTACCCATAGCTCAGAGCAGCCTAGATTTGGGGGTCATCCCTTCCCCGAGCCCCAAGCAGGAGCTTGCGGGTTGTGACCGCGGCAGCTGCCGGACTGCGCTGGGGTGTCCCGAGTTCCCTTTGTGGGGGTTCCGGACGAGAGCGGGGCTGCAGGGAGCTATGGGGGGCTGCGGGGGGCTATGGGGGGCTGCAGGAGGCTATAGGGGACTATGGGGTGCTGCAGGGGCTGCGGGGCCGGCAGCCCCCGTGGGCACCGCACCCGACATCACCCGCTGCGGTTCAGAAACCAAACTCGAGGTCTTTGGGCTCGGTGAGTGACGCTGCCCCGACCCCCCGCCCCGGAGCCCCTCGACCCGGTCCACCCGCGGCCCCGGTGCGTGGAGGGGTGTGAGTTCAGCCCGGGGGTCTCGGGCGGCCGGTCCCGGTGCTCCCCCGTGCCCATCCCGGGGCAGAGTCCGCAGTACCCGGGGCTGCCCGGTCCGGGGGACGGGCAGGTGCTGCCCCTCCCATCGGGCGGGGACGGGACACGCAATTTTCCGGAAAGCCCCGGCCCCAGTTTCGTTTTTTCCAGACCCGGTTTCGTTTCTCCATCCCCAGTTTCATTTCTGGTTGTTCGGAGCAGCGGCGGACGCGGCGATGGCGACGCTGGAGCCGGAGCTGAGCCTGGCGGGGCTGGAGGAGGAACTGACCTGCTGCATCTGCCTCTGCCTCTTCAGCAGCCCCGTGACAGTGCCCTGCGGCCACAACTTCTGCGCCGCCTGCCTGGAGCTCAGCTGGGCCGGGCTGTCGGAGGGGTTCAGCTGCCCCCAGTGCCGCACCACGTTCGCGGTCCGCCCGAAGCTGCAGAAGAACACGGTGCTGTGCCGCGTGGTGGAGCAGCTCCAGGGCCGCGCTGGGGCCGGGGGTGAGGAGCAGGAGGAGGATGGAGGGGCGGCGAAGTGCGAGGCGGAGGAGCCCCCCGTGTACTGCGACAGCTGCCGGGAGGCGCCGGCCGTGCAGACCTGCCTGACCTGCACCGCGTCCTTCTGCGCCGAGCACCTGCGGCCGCACCGCGACAGCCCCGCCTTCCGCGACCACCAGCTCTGCCCGCCCCTGAGAGACCTCCAGTACCGCAAGTGCCCCTCGCACAACCGGCTCTTCGAGTTCTTCTGCAGCAATCACGGCAGCTGCATCTGCTCCCTCTGCCTGCTCGGGCACAAAGTGTGCCACACCATCCCCTTGGAACAGGCTAAAGTTAATGCCCAGGTGAGCAGCTGCGGGGGGGCTGGTGCCCTTCGGGGCTGGAACATCCTCCCAGGGACACCCTGGAGCCTCCCTTCGCTCCTTCAGGGAGGGTGAGGGGGAGGCTGGACCAAGACTTGGACTGTAAATCTTGCATCTGGCCTTGGGAGACTGTTATCTCCCTCCCAGGCACATCTTCAGATTGATTCCTTGTGTTTTCCTCCTCTCTGCAAGGAGAGAGTCATTCCTTGCATTTTCCTCTCTCCAAGATGTTGCTCAAGGGCCAGGGTTCTGGGAAGGTGCTGTCATGGGGCTGATTGCCAGCTCCTGGGCTGGGCTGGGCTGACCAGTGAGGTCTTCTACACTCCCGGTGTCATCCAGAACTCCAGGCCTCCTCTGGTGCCAGGGCTCACTGCGTGGCCTTCTCACAGGCTGACCCAAGGGGTTGTGGACAGACATTGCCCTGTGTATGTTTTTAAGACTCAAAGAATTATAGAAGTAGCCTAGGGAGATCTCCAGCACATAGGAAGTGCTCTTCTCCAGCCAGAAGGAGATTCACAGAGTGGAAGCTTGGCCTTCATATCTTACAGTGCAGCTGAAAATTGGAGGGTAGTTGAGTAAAGCATGCTTGAAAAGTTCAGGTGGCCAAACTCTCATCTATTTGGTGAGTGTGTATACAGCTTTCCTGCAGAACTCATCCCTGACTGAGCTTAGCAGCATCTTGAGCTAAAGGAACAGGTAGCTCACATCTGAGTGATAAAATTCTCAAAATGAGAGGGGTGAACAGTACCATTAACTTTGTGCCCAAAGCCCAGCCTGAGAGCTAACATTTATTCTTAGCATGTGAACTGCTGAAAGCACTCAGTCCTTATCAAGAGAGTGAGTCAACAGTGTGCATCTTGCTTCTGGGAGAGGTGGAGCTGCAGGGAGGGTGTGGGTGCCACAAGGCACATGTATGCAGGACAGTACTTCTACATCCTGGGAGGTTTCGGGAGAGATAGGTTTTAAACTGCTGGTACTAAATACTTACAAGGTTCTTTAAAACTTTCTGTGAACATGATTCTTATTCAGTGAGTGTGACCCAATGCAACTTCTTCTCTGACATAATTTCTGATCTCTCCTATTGCAGGTGATGCTGAAGAAGAAACTCATGATGCTGAGTAATCAGAGTGAAAGAGCTGCTCAGGCAATGAGCACTGTGAAAACCAACCAAAGCCAATCTGCTGTAAGTGGGTAACTGTTCAAAGTGCTGTCGGGTTGCTTGGCACACGCTGGCCACTGTGTGGTGTTGCTGATTGTGCCCTCGTGACAACGGCTGTAGTACTGAGGTTGGATTGGCAGGAGAAGATGTTATTAGGAAAGAACGGAAAAGAGGCATTTTGGCAGGGCCAGGCAGCTCTGTGGGATATGGGAGTAAACCAGGCACTATGTGTTTAATGCCCCCATTCCTTGCGAGTGAAGCAGTTTTCTTTACAAACTACATAGAAATACTCGGCTCTTTTATTTCCTGTTTCAAGTAAGAGAAGCCTAAATGTTCCTCAAAGGTTTTTGTGCAGTAGCAGTAAGAGTACTTTGTTCACAAACTGTTCTTTTGAAACCAGTGTCTGTCTGCTCTTGTCTGCTCCAGGAGACAGCTTCCAGAAAGAAGGATTTGATCAGAAGTGAGTTTTCAGAAATGAAAGCTATAATCGAAGAAAGAGAAAATGAGGTCATGAAAGCAATTGTAGATGAAGAAAAGAGAGTCTGGAACAAGTTTGATTATATTTATGGTGTTCTGGGAAATAAGAAGAATGAAATTCAGTCTCTCAGAGATCAGATTGAGACGGCACTGACTGAAAGCGATGACATTCTGTTTATGAAGGTATTATGTCCTTTAAATGTGAATCCAATTCTTCATGTTTCTAGAATGCAGAATCACAAAAACCTACTGTGGTCATCCTGCTCTCCAGACACTTCCAGTCAAATGGTACTGCAGTTGTGTGCAAGAACCTGCTATGAAAGGATGTACCAATGAGTACACAAATATCAGTGAAAGAACACTAAAATGGTGTCTGAATGGTCAGTTCAGCCATTACCTCTGCCACAAACAGAGGGGCCAACAGGCGAGAGACCTCATCTCCATGAGGTGCTGCAGTTCTGTCCAGATCCTTCTCATTGTTTCAGATATCAGTTGGGAATTAAGGCATGTGGGCTGCTGCTGAAATTTTACCCTGGGTTGTGTCCAACTGTAGCCTTTGTGCCATTTTAAATAACCTGGTTATATTTTAACGTCTGTGCTACGCAAGGTGGTCTGCCCAAATCTTCCATCTGTCATTTCAGAGAGCAGTAGCACTGCAGCGAACATCACCAAAAGAAGCTTTCGTTCCTGTGGTTGAAATGGACCAAAATGTGATGAATTCCACTTATAAGTTTGCTGTTAACCTCAAAGAAACACTGAAACTTGCAGTAGTGGTTCAGTATAAGGAGAGAAAAGCAGAAGGTACTGTATCACTGAGAAAACTGGCATTTTCTTCTTTGGCTGTGAGCTCAAATGAGGGATCTTCCCTCTCCAAATATAATTTAAAAAAAAAGTGCAACAAGTACAGTTGGTTAATGTAAATTGTGTCTTCCAACCTCTGCAGTCCTCCCTGCATTTCCACACAAAACCATCACAGTGTGGGCTAAATTAGGAGACAAAACATGCCAGTGTCTCTTCACTGTTATCTGTAATCTGTAATTGGATAAGTTGATGAGTATCATGATCCTACACCCTTCTGGCACAGCTCAGCCTTTCTTCCCTAGAGTAATTTATGGTGTCATTATGTAGCAGGCTTGGATGTGGTTAGGACATGGATTTGAGGGGAGACATGAAACTCTTTAGAGTGACAGGACTTGGGTTACCCAACTGTCAAGGTGCTGATTGTGTAAGTCCTACTTACTGGGTTAAGCAAAACTGGGCCATGGGGATGCACTTTCCATCTCTGCTGAGTGTCCCTTCAGTTCTATTCACATAACGGATAAATAAGACTGAAAAATGTCCTCACTAATGCCTTTCTTTGTAGTTACTGTGCATTTCTGTGTACTGGCAATACCAACCATAATGTAAAATATTGCCATTGCAGCCACACCTGGGAAAACTATGGGCCCTCCAGTGGCTCCTAGAGACAAAACCCCTGTTGGAAGAAGGCCTCATCAACTACGTAAGCACTAAAGAAATCATCCTCTCCTAACTATGGTTTTACAAATAAATAAGAGTTCAAGCAGTTACCCCAGAGCTGTTTGCTGTAGTGGTGATGCAGAGATTATCTCTATGAGCACCTTGGCATGGGAAAGGGAGGGTGCTTTGGGATGTTTAGTGATGGATGCCTTGTGAGCTGGAAAGCAGTGAACTGCTTTCTGCCCACACTGGTGTCAGTGTGGGCTGTAAAGCAAAGCAGAGCTTCCCCACCCTCTGGTTCTTTCAGGGTTTTTTAATTTGTACCAAACACCTCTTGGCTTGTTTGATGGATTTGCACGTATTGAATTCTGCTTATGGGCTGTTCATGTTCTGTTATTTTAGGTGCTCCCTCACAAGATCGTTCCCACAAAGAGAGAACCCTTTCCCACACTCCAGCCACTCCGCAGGAGAAGGCAAATACCAGTAAGTGGTGATTAAAGGAGCCTTACTCAAACATTTTGCTGGCCACATCTTGCCTACAGTGTAGGGCTGGGGTGATGGAGAAAAGTCTTTGTGGCAGGTTATACTGGGGCCTTTCAGTGCTGTTTTATTCCAGATACCAGCATTAATGGGCACTGTAGTCTGTTTGGAAGATCTTTCATATTTTCCTTTGGAAATAAATCCAAGTGTTAAGAAACCACTTCTGTTACTCCCACAGAGCTCTTGACAAAAGGTCCTTTCCATTCACAAGTCCTGGGTGTGGAGCACTCACTGGGGTCTGTTGGGGAAGATGGAG